AAAAATTTTACGTTCAACAAACATAATTATTGTCTGTAATTGTCGCGAAGTAGTAATTAATTCCGTTTTCCATTCTGTTTTAATTCCAAATGAATGAACCGAGGTATCTGTTCTGTGATACAGGATTGTCATTTCGATCCTTTTGTGTTAAGTAATCGTGCGAGCTAGTAATCGTATACTGTCGTTACTGTGAATATTTATAAAGTACGTTTCGTATTATTTAGCATTTGTCGCGATTATATTTTAAAAAGAATAATATAGCGGAGAGCGGCACGCGCACATCTACTTGCCTGTACGAGCCTCGGAAATGGAATGACTGCGTGATAACTGAGCGTAAACATGGCGCGTCACCCGCCCGTTCGTCAAAACAACCCCAAGGCCGCATGCCGATCATCTAGCTAACTGTCGAAATATTAACGTATATTACAATTATAAGTAAAATAATTTATTCGTTACATTTTTAATATTTTTCGCTAAATAAGCTTTATTGTACAGTTGTTACTTTATTTCTTTATAGATTCGTTATGCACATACAGCTCATAAATATCTGTTAAGTTTTAAATATATTTCAATTATATTATAATAAGCACTTATTAATTTATAATAACTTTATATTACACGGAATGTACATACGTAATAACCAGCAATGTACGTAATATTTTTAACAAAACGCGCATTTTTGACGCATTGTGGCTTTTTATTACTTTTGATTATTAACTTTTATTGTAAATCATCAGGGAAATATTAAAAATTGAGATATAATGTTGTCAGAAACACTTCAGTGAATAATTTTATAAAAATACAAATCATACTAACTGTCCAATCATAAATTTCAAATCATTCGAATCATAAATGTAAAAATCATGCTAAGCTAACGCCAAGTTAAGTTCCACATAATTTTATGTATCATTCGTATAAAATATTTGATATCAACAACTGATGCCAACTTAAATCCCATGCTAAATTAAATGAAAAATATACAATAATTATATTACATTGCTTATCAAGTATTACCACAAAAAGTTAAAGAAGTAATTATTGTATTCTTTATTTTACTAATTTAATAGAATTTACCTTGATTAGTTAAGATTGTAGCATCTGGGTTTTATAATTTTTTATTTGACACATTAATTTTTTCCGAGAAATAATAATTTTGACAGAGAATTAAAGTTGTTATTATTTCGCTTGGAATAAAAAAATCTTTAATTAGAATTCTTGAAGAGAAATTAGAACTACTATTAATTAAGTTGGATACTTAGAGATTTTATTCAAGTAGCACGTTTTTTCTTAGAGCTTTTTTTATATCTTTTTTAAAAAGGTAGAAAAATAACTGGAAATAATCAAACAATAAATTTTTGAAACACAAATGCATTACAAAAAGTAAAACGACTATCTCGTTGTTGTTCTAATGAGCACAACATTATTAAAAAATATAAGTAAAATCTAACAACAATATTGAAATATAGGTACGTACAATGAGACAATAGATATAATGCATCGATTAAAATATGTCATTTAAGATTTCTCAAAAATTTATTAAAAAGCTACAGTTAGTAGTAAAAAGATTTTGTTTCGACGAACGAAGGTCAAAAATAAAAAGGCTAACTCTCTTATTAGGATGTCTGTAAGAAATGATTAGAATCAATGGAATAAGCTAGAGATTAACAACAAAAAAAGAAGAAATATTTCTTATATTACCGACAAACAGTTCCAAAGTAACGCTTAATCTCATCTAATCAGATCATATCACGAAAGATGCACTAAAAAGAAAAATTAAATTATTAATTATTAATTAGAAACTATATTAGTTGCAAAAGGAATCGCGTAAATTCCGTTATTTGCGTGATAATTTTTATTAACGTTGCTTTTTTATAACTATTGTAATACCGTTCAAAGTATATAATTGAGAGTTATATTCTGAC